CTACTATATATATATATATATATATATATATATATTTTTTTTTTTTTTTTTTTTTTTTTTTTTTGGGTGGATGATAACTCAAGGTGTACATGGATTTCAACTATGAAGACCAAATATGAAGTTCATAATATCTTCAAGATCTTTCGTAAGATGATCTATGCGATAATAAGATCTGACTAAGGTGGGAAGTATTGTAACATCAAAATTCTTGTTCTTACACCAAAACAAAAAGAGTCATTGAACGAAAGCATAGACACTGCTTAGAGGTTGGTTATATGCTCTTCTCTTGAAAATGAATGTACCTAAGAATTATGGTCCGAAGTTGTGCCCACTTCAGTTTATCTTATCAATCAGATGCAAGTCATGATCTCAACTACTAATCTCCCTATAAACTTCTCCGTCTTGATTGCCCACAGTTTTGTAATCCCCTGGAGTCCTTGGTTGTGTTTGCTTTGCTCATGCCTGGTCCGCACCATACGAAGTTAGATCCCAAATGTGTAAAATGTAGTTTTTTTGGTTATTCATTTTCTCAAAAGGGTTACAAATATTATGATCCTATGTCAAGGAAGACATTTGGCTTGATGGATGTAACCTTTTTTGTGTCCACCCCATTTTTTCACACCTTTATTCAAGGGGAGCGTGATGTGGAATAGGATTTTTTGTTCCTCCTGTTATTCCTATTTTCCCTGATTCTGGAACTTAGGAGGAAAGTGGGGAGCAATCTTATGATTGTAAAGAGAAAAAATCAAAAGTCTATATTCGGCAAAAACAAAAAAAAGTGGAGACCACCATAGTTGGCAAGCCTTTTTAAGCCAATTGCATACCTCAGATTCTGGCAATCCCACTAGATATCAGTGTGACGATCTTGATATGCACATTGTTTTACAAAAAGGTAAATGAAGCTGCACTGTGCACCTAATTCGCAACTCTGTTTTAATGAATCCTTGTCTCCTTCCTATCGTGCTTTCTTGTCTTCTTTATCTTGTACTGTTATTCCATCCAATGTTTTTTGAAGCTTTATTTGTTTATATTAGAGCATTAATCAATAATGGTACTTGGGGATCTGGTACACCCTCCTAAAAAAAAAAAATTGGTTGGTTGCAAATGGGTTGCGCTATAAAGCACAAGGGCAATGGTAGAGTTGATAGGTACAAGGCAAAGGGTTCACTTTGACATGTGAAATATACTATTGTAAAACATCTGCTCCTATGGCTACGATGAACTCCATTAGTGTCCTTTTCTCTTTAATAGCTAAGTTGGAGTGGTCATTGAACCAACAGGATGTCAAGAAGAAGTGTAAATGGTACGTCCACCTGGTTTTACAACTCCTAGCTATGAAGAAAAAGTTCGTAGATTGAGAAAGGCCGTTTATCGAGTAAAGCAGTCTCCTTGAGCTTGATTTAAGAGGTTTAGTGGTGTTGTTCAAAGAATAAGATAAACATGGCATCATGCAGACCATACCTTATTTGTAAAACATACCGAAATTAGTATCATTGTGCATAAAACATACCGAAATTAGTATCACTGTGTGGATTGCATATGTGGATGATATTGCCATAATAGGTAATTGTTTTAAAAAATTCAACTTAAGAGATTCTTGACAGGGAGTTTGAAATTAAAGATCTAGGTAGATTGAAGTATTTTCTTGAGATTGAAGTGGTAGGTCTACAATGGGAATATTTATCTCTCCAAGGAATTATGTGTTGGACCTTCTTAAGGAAATGGGAAAGCTTAGGACCAAACCAATTGATACTCTTATGGACCAAAACGACAAACAAAACAACCAAAGGGACGACGCTCTCAAAGATGTTGGTATGTTTCAAAAGTTAGTGGGCAGGTAGATATATCTTTCACTTACATGTCAAGACATTGCATATGCAATGAGTGTGATTAGTCAGTTCATGCATGCTCCATGAACTACTCATCTTGAAGCTGCTTATCGAGTTCCTACATATTAAAATCATCGCCTGGTAGAGACCTGTTGTTTGCTAATCATGGACACTTACGAATTGACGCTCATATAGATGCAGATTGGGTTGGTTCTATTAATCAAGCTATTGTACTCTGGTTGGGGGTAGCATAATGACTTGGGAGTTAAAAAGTCAATTGTAGCCCGTTCAAGCACAGAACTAGAGGAATGATCGATAGCTCAAGGAACATGTGAATTGTTGTGGTTAAATTTCTAATTACAAGAGCTCGGTTATCCTGTGAAAGGGTCAATATCCTCGTATTGTGATAACAAGGCAACCATTAGTATAGCTCAGAATCCAGTCCAGCATGATAGAACCAAGAAGGTGGAGGTAGACCAACATTTCATTCAAAAAAGAGTTGCTACCAAGGAAATTTGCCTTCCATACGTGAAAACCTAAGCAAGTTGGCCATGAGGGACGTCTATGCACCACCTTGTGGGGGAGTGTTGTGCATGTTAAAGTTAATACTTTTTCCCATTGTATTTAAGTCCCTAAGGACTTATGTGGCTTTCCCTCACAAAAGAATATCATTGTGCACAAGTTAAAATTAATAATATACATACTAGGAGAGAGGACGTGTGGATAGATTTCAGAACCCACCGTGACTTCCTATCCTCTCTTGTTTTTGCCTCCTCGTGATTCCCCCTCTCTAAACCTCACTCTTCCTCACTTTCTCTCTCTAGATCCTCAACTCCCTCAATGAGTTGGTACAAAGCTTCCAAGAAGCCTGGCAAATAAGGCTATCAGAAATGTCTCGGCCAAGCTTGCTCAAAGGAATTCCATCAACATTGATTTCAACAAAGATTCCAAGAAGCCTCAGCCAAGCTAGTAGAAATGGGGCTATCAGAAATGTCGATGTGATACTTAAGTGCTACTCAGGGCCAGTGTACTTGAATGTTCAAATAAGACTAATGCTTATAAGGCCCTCTAAGGAGGTTGCTTTTGTGAAAGTACTTTGATGGACCAGCTAACACTGAGATATATTCAGAGAATAACATCAAATGGTTTAACAATGACTTCTTTCAATGCCATGGAAATTATGAAAGTATCTCAGACGCAATTGTAGCATTGGGAATTCACTCATGTCCCAACGAAGCTGATTCGGTCAAGATTTACTGGCAACTCCAAGGATAAAATACGAACGATAAGGGAATTTCTTGCCACCACAAAAGTGCTGTTTCATGTATCTCAGACAAAATCGAATCATCAGTTTATAATTTACAAGGAAAATAAGTTATACCTATATGCTACTGCCCCAATTTTAACCAACTAGTAAGTAGATAAAAACACAACGAACAAATCTCTATATCACCCAGTTTCAAGAGTCCAACTAGCAAATCTGTAAATCTTTAAACGCTACCAATAAATCCACATATTCAAGTGAAAACTAGAAGAAAATGTAGAAAATTCTCAATAAGATCACATTCATCAAACAAAAATTCTCAATAAGATCAAATTCATCACCAATTAACACCCACAAGTTCCCAAGTGAAAAACGAATTCAACAACCAGAGAAGAACCATGAACTTTTTAGACAGAGAAACATCCTCACCAAACCGCGATTCTCAATGGGATCGCGCTTGTACATCTGAACATATTGACCGCGAAGAACCAGATACCTAAGATGACAATATTCGCGGCCAATTGAATTGACACCAAGATGGTAGACCCATCCTGAGTAACCCACCGACCTCTCCTCCGAACCAGTCTCAGACCCATCCGAGCCTTCCTTATCAGACATCTTCTTAGACATCAAGCCCTAAAACAGCTCCCACAAAAGCAAAAAGATAAAGAAAAGAAAGCACGGAACCAACAGGCAGAAGAAGATGATGACGATGATCGAGGAGGAGAAACAAGGGGACGAGGAGAAGGAGAAAGATGATTGTTGTGGGAGCTGTTTTATTTACTTACAGAGGGAGGGCAGTTGCCCAGAGGGTGGGGAATCTGGTTTTTTAAGGTCAAAAGGCCGAGAAATTTGACATTGGCTTAAAATGTGGGCTTTATGGATTATGGACACTTGTCTGCTACCAATGTACTTGGATAACCGTTTCCATGGTTTACTTTGGAGCCACCGAGAAATCTAGAGAAGGGAGAGAGAAAGGGAGGACGCTCTTGTTGACTAGTCAATCGATGAGTGAGAAAAACAAAGAATTGGAGAGAGAGAGAGAGAGAGAGAGGCAGAGCAGAGGGTCGGCAACCAACTACCCTCATAAACGTCAAAAACCATGTTCACTGTTAACGAAACTCCGCATGCATTTACTTGCGGGAGTAGGGTTTGGCGCGTCGGGGACGCGTCCATTTACGATATGGTGCTGATCTTATGTGGATTTTCTCCGGGGACGCGGTCCGATATGGACGTACCCTTACGCATTAAAGCTAAAAATCAGAGTTGGTAATTCGAGATTTCGACCCATTAGCGGGCTCATTTGTTTATTTGGTTGCCCTCTACGTCAATATCTGGGATGGATTTCGGCATGGCTAGAAATGAGCTTAGTGACCCGGCCCTCAAAAAATAGTGAGTGGGAGAAAAAAATGTGGCCTGAGAGCCAAGTTAGAATCATGACAACGCCGAGCCACACCAGGCATGCATAATTTTTATTTTTGTTTAATTAAAGCCCGTCTCAGGCCAAAAGGGCTTTGCCCGGCCCAATGGGCCAGTGGCCCTTTTAGCCCAGTCAAGGATGGTTAGGACCAACCGTGCAAAGACCCCAACATGTATGGACCAGCCCTAGATTTTGGATCAAAAATTTAAAAGGTTGATAATATTGACATTAAAAATGATGATTGTGGAATTCAACAGGCAGCATCTTGATAACTTTGGACCCGGTTTTCTCTTAGGCAACAAAACTAAAGTACACTTGATTATTGAGGATTCTAAACGATAACAAGGCGCATTTTCAGTGTTGTTTAACAAAGTACACAAATGAAATGAAATAATATAATTAAAGTTGTTTAACCACCTCATTAGTTTTTTTTGAGCTCGTTTGACTATATTAATGATATTTTTAAAAGTGGACAAAGATATTGTAGACACCCCATTTTAAATATGGCAAATTCTATGGTTTTTTGAACCTTTAGAACCGCATTATCCTAGTAAACCCAAATCTATAGCCCACATCGCCTACCATGTGACCCATAATTATTTTGCCTACCCAAAACCCTGCAGATACCCTGTTTTCATCCAGAGACTTGTAAACACCCTGTTTTACTAAAAAAATCATTAAAAATAGTAGAAAAATCCGTTTTGACCCAAATTTTCTCTGAGAGCTTCACAAGAGGCTGAGGAACACACTTGAAGTATAAATTTTTAGTTTGGGCCAACTTTGGCTTGGCCAACACTAGGTGTGTCGCCCAACGTAGACTGGGCAACATGAGTGGTGCCACTCAGACTAGGGCAATGTTCAGGCCCAAATTAGGAATTGCTTTTGTGTGTCGATTTCTTGCCTTTTTATGGTACTCTTGGGGAAGGTCTTTGAATACCAAGGCTGAAGATGCTTGCTCGAAGAAGTAGGACCAGGCAGGAGTAGGGTTGACTCATGAGGAGGTCTGAGTCGAGGGCGAGGGGATGTTTGTGGCGATGACGCGTGTGATCCCCTTGAAGAAGGATCACGGGGGACTTGAGGGTTAGCATGAGCTCGAGCAAGTGATCTGGCTTTAGGAGGCAGAGAACTGCGAGTAGGTATCTGTAAGAGAACAGGTAGAGACATGCCCCTTACAGGGTGTGCTTGTGTGTGCTGAGTAGGAGGACAAGGAGGTCGTCTGCTGTGTACTCGGGTTGGCGCAATGACGGCATTGCCCCGTGTGGTGGGATACATATGAGCAGCATGTGCAGGACCTGGCCTTGGGGGGTCTGATTCTGGACGGACTCGAGCTAACATAAGAGTTGCCCTGAGGTGTGGCTCGGGTGGGTGACCCACGAGCCTTATGGTGTCTGTGAGAGGTGGAGGCCACAGGGCCTCCGCCTCTATGTGTCGAGCCTCTAAGAATAGGGACTTGTGGTGGTGCAGGAAGGTGGGGGCCAGCCTTGCAGCGACCCACAAAAGCAATGGCAAATTGCTTGCCTTCTGCAAAGAGGGACTGGGCAGCCTTCTGGCGTACCTCGGCAGTATGACTGGCAAGTGACTTGCCGGTGGCTGGGTGCATGCTATGTGTGGCGACAGACATGCTGCTAATGCAGAGTGCCTTGGCGGAGGTTCTACCAGAGCGAGGAGATGGGGAGAGAGAGACCTTCAAGGCCCTCCTCACACCAATTCAGGTAAAGACCTAGGAGCTAGACAAGGGGTCTTTGCTCAAAAGGATGGTTGGGAACGAAGTTGGAGAAACTTGTTCCCTAGGGACACTTGAAAATGCAGTGATGAGAAAATCCCTGATCTAGAAGAATGGGTTACAGAACCCGCAAGCCATAAGTGATGTGTGAATACAAAAAATAAAAAGGAGAAACTAGCTAAACAAGTACGATCCGACTAAGAGGTAGTAAGTCCCTAGTGGAGTTGCCAAGCTGGTTAGGTGCCTCGATCTCACCATCTAGATTTGGATGATCAGGCCGCACGTGTCTCAAGTTTCAGGGGTGACCCAGGACGTTTTGAGATCTCTCTGTAGGGAACCTCATCCGAGAATAAGAGCAGGTATTACCAACCGATGAGAGAGGAATTTAAGGTGGTTCGGGACTTACTCGAGCTGGCTCGCGTGGGCGCCCTCTTAGATCATGAAGAAAGCCTCCCAGTCGTGAAACTGGTTTGAAGTCGCTTCCCTTTCGCTTGTATTCTCCTGTTTTCTACAAACACACACATATGGAAAAGGTTATAAGATAAGTGGGTCAGCAGACCTCACATGTCCTTCTTGATGAACAAATGCAGGTGTGCACATTCAAAGAAGAAAAGAATAATGAGAGAAGAAAGGTGGGGAAGAAAAGAATTTGACTAGGCTGGGAGATCAGCACAGTGACTAAGTTGGTAGGTAATTGGTCTGACATGGCAATAAAACGGGCTCAATAATTAAGACTAGCTCAACAGAGTTATTACTAGACGTCAATACCGGTACTGACTAGCTAGACGCGATGGTTAGTTTATCGTGGCAATAAAGCGGGCACAGTAATTCTGGCACAACAACATTACGATTAGATGATAGGGCTACCATAAGAGGCTAATTTCAACCCCTCTTAGTCAAACAAAAGGATAGTAGAAGGCATGAAAATCATAAAGAGAGAATAAGAAGTAAGAGAATAAGAGGAGAAGAGAAAGAAAGAGAGGAAGGGAAAGAAAGAATTAGAAGAGTGTGAGAGAATAAAGAAGGAAGGAGAGAGGAGGGAGAAGGACAAAGTTGGTGCCAGGCATCGCCGGCTGTGTTAGAAGAAGAAAAGAAAGATGACACAGTCAGCGTTAGGCATCATCGACTGTGTTAGAAGAAGAAGAGAGAGAGAAAGCACACAGTCGGCACTAGGTATCGTCAACTGTGTTAGAGAGAGAGGGGGCAAGAAGGAGAGAGAGAGGACACAGTTGACATTAGGTATCGTCGACTGTGTTATAAAGAGAGGGGGCAAGAAGGACACAGTCGGGGCTAGGCATTGCCGACTGTGTTTTTTAAGAAGAGCGGAGAGAGAAAGATACAGTCGACACTAGGCATTGCCAACTGTGTTTTAAGAACAACAAAGAGAGAAAGCCACAGTCGGCGTTAGATATTGCCGCTGTGTTTTAAGAAGAGTGGAGAGAGAAAGACACAATCAGCGCTAGGCATTACTGGCTGTGTTTTAAGAAGAAGAGCAAAAAGGAGATAAGGATGAGGAGAAGAGAGAGAAAGAGAGATAAAGATGAGAAGGAGAGAGATATAGATATAAGAAGAAGAGAGATAAATAAAGATAGAGATAAGAAGAAGAGAGAGAAAGAGAGGTAAACATGAGAAAAAGAGAGAGAAAGAGAGGTAGAGATGAGAAGAGGAAAGAGAAAGAGGGGAGGAGAGAGAAAGAGGGGATGAGAGAGAAAGAGGGGATGAGAGATATAGAGGGAAGGAGAGAGAAAATTACCTTATCAAAAGGTATCAGCCCTTATATTTTCTCTCCTATATCTCTCTCTCTCTCCAAGACGAACCCACGAGCTTAAGCAAAATGAAGTCTTTATTGAATCTTTAAGATTGAACCCAAGGGAATTTTACAATTTGGCTTTACATGCTTATATAGAATTGGACCCAAACATAGGTGAATGGCCAAAAACTACATAGAATTGAAGATAATTACAATTTAATTGAATTAAAATAAATTCTCAAAATAGGTGTAAAAGGATTGTTTTGCCCCTACTTAACAATGTGTGAAATTTCAGAATAGTCCCTATTGCTGCTCGAGAATTTGCGTGATCTTCCATGACTGATCCGATGTTGCTTTGATGCCTGTTTGATTGAAAGATGATTGTTTTCTAGTGGGGCTCTGCATGACGATCGATTTGATACGAACTTCCAACCATGAATCATGTTTTTAAGCCATGATCATGAAACTTGAAATTTGCTTGAATCTTGAAAACTTTTGATCGATTGGGTGCTCATTTCTTAATGTTTTTCTTTACTTTATTCGCTGAATCACACTAAGTATGCCATCACAATCACGTTGCAACAAATGCAGCTCGATTTCATGTCTGGATGAAGATTTCGTCGTCTTGAGTTTTTGGCCGGAATCTTGAAATCTGGCGGTCGAAATTTACAGAAGCTTCAATGCCTCTATGTGTGAAATCCACATGTTCATCTTAAGTGAGGTTTGGACCAGAGATAGCCACTGACCTTACACACATAATGCAATTGATTTCTTGTCGATCGGGTACGCAAGCGTCATGATTTGGCCGCTCGAGTGAGGCGGAGCTGGTGGGCGAACTAAGAGTGGATCAAGCGAGCCAGGGCCTCGGCCGAAGAGTGCAGGGGGAAGGTCATTGAGATCATTGATCTTTTTTATTGCCTTCTTTCTATTTTTCTCTTTATTCCTTCTAATGTAAAGAAAAGGCACTTTCTTTTTTGTTTTTCTTTTTTTTTTTTTCTCTTCTTCGTTGTTTTTGCCCTTTCACCGTGTGAGATGAAAAAGGATAGCCCACTCCTTGCTTCATCTTCTGACAGCTTACCGTGGCTCTAATGACCTTGAATGGGGGAGCAGTTGCTTCCCCTTAGCATTTGATTTGATAGGGGTTCATAATTCGTAGTTCTCATGATTGTGGGTCACTTGATACTGGCCCCGAGCTGGGTGACGCTTCATGAACTTGAATCATGTGGCAGGCCTCGTGGGAATAAGAGCTCAGAGATGGTTC